ACAACTGAGGAAGATTTCCTGACAAGCATGATTCTGTCATCTTGAACTTGTTTGAAGTGATAAGATTCATGCCATAGAGATGAAAAAGAGTGATAAAAGCAGTTGCTCACTAAGACAGCCAGTAGTGGAATTGTGAACCAAGGCAGAGAATGACTTCTGCCGTCATCCCTCACTGCTCCCTGTGGCCTTCAGTCAAGCATGGCCCAGCCAGGCCAGAGTATCTGCAAGAGACATCGGTAAGAACCAGACCCAGCCCAAGCTGAGGAGCTTTGCAGGTTACAGCGTAGTGTTGGCCGTCTTAGCACGTAAGTGTTGCTTGTTGGCCTGGGAACGGTAAATCACTACTCAGCTCCACATTTGTTCCTTAACACTTTCCAAGGCTAGCCTGAAGCCTATCAGCAGTTTCCAGAAAGCCTCCTAAATGAGGCCTAGCCTCTGCCCAGCTGAGGCAAACACAAGCTGGAGTTTTTCTAAGAATACCAGAGGTGTTTGAACAGCGATGCAGAGGAGACTTGTGAACAATAAAACCCCTGTGCTAAGGCGCCCCAGTCTCTGATCTGTAGCAGTTCCTCTTTGCAGCAAGACTCACAGAAGTGCAGCTTTTGGTCCATGTAGACTTGCAGTCCTATATAGTTTTGTTCCCTGGTTCCACCTAGAAATAATGCCCAAGGTGAAAAGTACCCCTGCTGTGGTGTAACCTCCATAACCCAACAACTGATAAGCTAACAATGAACAGAAAAACAAAGAAATAAATTGTGTAGCTAAACACCTCCCTTACACAAGCAGCTGGGTAAAGGATCAACTTCCCAAATCTGCAGTGGATCCTGCATTTTACGTGGGTTAATTGGGAAGAGGCTTGCTGGCACACACACCATGCCATACACTGGCTACATGTGGACACCCAAACTATTAAAGGGAATTTTCAAGCATAAAAATCAACTGCTTCAAGCTGTTGGGGCTGGTCACATTTTGAGTACATGCTGCTTTAAAATGTGAACTGTACGAGAGAGATTTATTGTCAGAGGAAACTCAGACTCCACATTTCTTTCATTAAGTAACTTATTTTGTCATTATTTGTAGCTAAAAAAACAAGTGAGCATCAAGTTAAGTGACTTCTGAGCCAAAAAATTGCACTTTGGTACTTTTTCTTTTTTTTTTTTTTTTTCTTTCTTTCCTTTTTTTTTTTTTAAGTCTGGAAACATCCAGTGAAAAACAACTATTTGTCAGTCCAGCATCTTCTGAAGAAGACCACTTTCCTGAGTACACCAAATCGTCTAACACAGTGAGGGTCTGTTGAGTCCTAAAAGAACAGAATGTCTTGTTCATTTACATACAGTAAACACATGTTTCATCCAAATGCAATTGTGAAATAGTTTTGAAATCCTTCTTTCATTGCAGTTTTGAGACTGCTGGCTAGCAAGAGTCCCAGAAGGTTGTATTGTCTCTTGTTTACATGGGAGGATCAAATTAAAAAAAAAAAAAAAAAAAAAAAAAAAAGTTCCAGAAAGATCATTTGTCTTTTTTTTTCCTGAGCACTTTATTTCTGTTGAAGTACCATTTCTAAGATTAAGCCTCAGACACCTTCTGGATCCACCCAATATAATCTCATGCTTTGAAGGAAGACAGCTAGTTTGGCATACATACTGATAGTCTGTCTTTATCACCACAGTCTAGATAAAATTTAGAAGCTGGAAACATTTCTGTCTAGCAGTCATAATTCTGTCTGCATTTATCTGGCACCATGTTCCCTTGCTCTTTCTTTTGATTCATTCTGCATTTTCTTCTCCAAATATTTTCTTTGACTGAGTACCTATAGTATGAATGCCTGGCATGCTGAGTAATTCTAATTCTGGTCACTCATGGGAGTAGGTGTTGAGGCTGTCCAATACTTTTCAGAATCAAGTCCAAAAGACAGAACTGGTACAGATTGTAAAACCATCATAGCAACAGCAATCCAATCCTCTATGAAAAGCTGTCTTGAAGAAAACTCCCTGCTAAAATATATGTATGGCAGGGAGAAAAGTTCAACGTTTTCCTTGGACAGATACTGCAGAGCAGTCCAGATAAAGCAAGACCAAAAGGGAAAAAAATAATAACAATATCAGAGCTGAATGGACTTGGTATTAAGCTTTTACTTTGAAACCAGAGTTTCATTTTGAAATAGCTATAAAGTGTAACAAGCTTGGTGGTCTCTCCTCGGTCCCTGGTGGTTAGGGGAATCCACGGCACAAAACCACCACACAGCATCTGACACAATTGGCAGTCATGGTGTAAGAGAGGCCCCGGACTGATCCTTCACAGCTGCAGTGCATCTTCACTGTGACAGAACAGCAAAGAAAGATGTGTGCTCTGACCAAACGGACTTTGTGTGTGGAAAACCAGCTCAGTCCACACCAAGTAAATACAATGGCTGACCCAACGTCAGCTCAAACAGCTCTCACAGTCTCTATCATTACCATTCCTCAATGAACTGCCTTGGTGAGTGTCTGTATGTTTTCAGAAATTCCATAATAACCTATGGAGAGTGATAAATACAGCAAATGTACTGGCCTCACGCAGGAATTGCTCAGGCAGAGGCTGAGTCTCATGCACCCTTCAAACGATATTACAGCATGAGTAGAGCCAAACTGGGATGGAGGCAGGAAAGGACAAGAGCAAAAGTAGATGCAGCCAGGAGCTGCATTCTTCATCTTCACGACTGATACTTTGCATTTTTTGTAATGGGTTTCACTGAAGAGCTTAAAGAGATCTGTTAATGAATTACTTGAGTCACAAAATGTCCTTGTGGCATAGAAGGATTAAATTGATCTACAAGTGAGTAAACTTAGAGGTTGGGAGAAAGCCCAGGAGCCAGCCAAATGTGCAGCCCATCAGGGAGCTGTGTGGGAACCAGGAGGTGTGGGATAGCTCCCAGCCCACAATGCCCACCGCAGGGCACACACACTGCAGGGCCACCAGTAGAAGGCTTCCCTCTTCCTTTCCACACCTCTTCTGCTCATCTGTTCCCCTCAGGTCATGAGAAGTTCCAGCTTTTGGTTTGATTAGTTGTAAAACAGAATAAGTTAAGCTTACTACCATTGGATGTAGTGAAAGCGGCACAAAACCTTAAGTTATCCGTCAATGGCCCCTTAAATATGTGGATGGTATGGGAGAAAATCTAACCCAGTCTAGCTCAATGGCCACACCAAAGAGTTATCAAAGTCAGCAATCATCAAAATCTAGTAGTGGAATACTGGTTATCAGGAAAAATAAACACCACTTTATGATTTGCCTTTATCACAAGAATATGTCTTATAAAGTAGGCACCAAACATCATTTGTTTCTACTTAAATTGTACTCTGTGTGCTTCCTTTTTCTGAATAAAATGTCCATTAAATATTTATGGAATTGTATGAGTCAGAGGAAGCTTACACAGGATTCATGTGCAGTGTGCAGTAAAGCACTGTTGTTTTAAAGTCACCAGCTTGGGAAGGCTATCAGCCCTTTAAGAATGACCTGCAAAGCCACAAAGGAAAAAAAAAAAAAAAAAGAAAAAGAAAATTTTAGCCATGACTTGCCCTCTGTAAGTGCTCAGAGTAATTGCGCAACTGAAGTTTTTTATTCTATGAGCAACCAGGAACCACAGAAATGTTGGTGAAAGCAATAGCTTAATGCTACTCAATTATGTTGTATGCATAGTCATTGAAGGATCAGTTCTGAAAATTTTTCTAATCATTCAAGGCAACTGGGAGCCAAGGAACTGGGAGCCAAGGGAATGAAAGAGAAACAGACAGATTTTTTCAGCACTTAATCTGAATGCGCAGGTCCTCACAGAAGAAGAGCAATTTAAACATCTGTTACTCTGTGCTACAGTTTCCATCTTAAGAAATCAGCATCATAAATTTCTTCAGGAATGGAGTCTGTGTTGTCACTCAGTAGTTGGTTCAAGCTGTAGATAATCAGTCTAAATCAGTGCCGTAAGCATCACTTAGTTCTAATTCAGATAGAAATAATGCAGCTCAAGTATAATTTGATTTACAGCTGACAGTCACCTTGGAAAGTGCTTTCTAGAAGATGGCATTTCAGAAAGTCCTTGAGGGAGTACTGGGGATAAACACATGCTGAGAGTATTGCAAGGGAATTCCTAGTGGTAAGAGTTAGTAAGGTCAAAGCAAAAAATGGTGGGGTTTTGTTGGTTGGTTGTTTTTTGGGTTGTTTGTTTTGTTTAGTTTTGTAGAAAGACTCTCAATTCAGAGGCTGCACATGGAGAAACCAGTATGACCATGTAGTAACTTCCTAGCAGTTTAGTTGCATGAAACTGACCGTATTACTAAGAAAAATGTAGTTTCAAGACAATAGCTACTATTTACATCTTCTCCATAGTCAAGAAGCCAAGTGGCCAGAGGGACAGCTGCTTCAGTGTCACCCCTCTGGAGGCTGATGAAGCTGTTGTCTGCATACTTTTTTTTTTTTTAAGTCTGTGTTAAATATCCAACTTCACTTGAAATGAACTTTCACAGATGACCTTAAGGTCCTAAATTTGAAAATATTATCAAAGGAAAAAAAAAATGATAATTGTTTAAAGTCTCTCTTGCTTTATCTTTCAGACAATACCCCTGTGCTAACATTGTTTATCTGCTTTGCTGAACCGTGGACTCACCAGCAATGCGGCAATTCAGCAGCAAGTCATTTCTGCCTTCCTTAACGGTGTTTTTTTTTTTTTGAGCTTAGCAGGACAGAAACAGAGCCTCACTCTACTTCAGGAGCAGACCAGAAAAGGGCACATGCATCAGATGCAGGCTCGTTTTGACTGACACCATTAACATTGTGCAGATCTAGGCAGTTTGTCTCCCCTGTTGGGAGTATTACAGATGTACCACTGACTAATTTCTAACAGCTACTTTAGCTTAGCTCTCTGGTTAATTGTAGCACATGATCAAAACATGGGGGGGAGGGGGAAGGAGGTAAAACTAAATCAAGAGCACATCACAATGTGACAGCAAACCTTGGACATACCTTACCTTCTCTGTACCATGTGGGAATACCTTAACCATGAAGGGTGTCTGACACAAGTTTTGTATGTTGAAGCCAGAGATGGGTGACCTAGGAGGTACTGAAATGAAGGATGCATTATATTGATTCTGATTGCTCATGTCTACCCAACAAAATCTCTGCTTATGCCTTAATTTTAACACTTTTAATTTCTGATCATATGCAAAAGAAAGTACTGAGCAGGCAGTCCTTGCAAGTCCCATTCTATAGAGCTATCCCAGCTGGGAACCAGCATTACCATGCCCACATTCACCCGAGCCCAAATCTCCCCAAGTGACCCCTGGGTCAAACTTACAGTATCCTGTTATATATAGAAATGTTAGTTCCTTCCCTTTTAAGCTTATTTATTTATGTATTTATTTTTAAATAACCATCCAGCCTGTCCAGTCCCCATGGGGATGTAACTCAGGGGCAGTTACATCTCACCGCTGAATAGTTTTTGGGTGCTGGAACCAGGGGGACAGCAGCCAGGATGGGGGCTGTGATTGCTCCATGTGCTCTGCCTCGGGTCATGGGAGGTGATCAGGGAGCAGAGGGAAGGAGGCGGGCTTTGGCTTGATCTAGTATCTTGGTATCTTGCCTGTGTTAGAGAATCAATCAAAACTCATATAAAGGAGCTGAGGAGATGGAGGATTGTGTTTCTTGATTCTTGATGCTTGTGTTTCATGGGTTCAATACCTACAAATACTCTGTTTGGTGATTTGTTACAGAAGCCTCCAAATTCTCAAGCTGTTTAAGGTTTTGCATGTTTTCCTCTTACTCATGTTGCCTTTTCTGTCTGACATTCTGTTTTTCAGTATTTCTGTTACAGCGTTCCAGACATCGCCCAGAAATTGTAGTGTCTCGCTCAGGAGTTATGTAAGAGTTGCAGTAGATATTCCTGATATTTCCCACTGTTTACAAAGCAGACTTGGTTTCTCTTAATGTTTTCCAGTATACAACTGTCAGTTTACAAATGAGCACTGGCTGAGTCATTCGCGCCGAGCCATCTTCTTTCCACTCATTGTTTCCTTGTCCCAAATAACAGGGAGCACATGGCAAGAACAACAAATAATACCAGAAAGGGTAGATAATCTCCTCTTGTAGAAGGGTGTTGTTTTGACTTGATGTAAAAGGTTATGAGGGTTTTGCAATGCTAATGATGAATCTTCTGATTTAGAAGTGTTGATGCTGGATTTTTTTTTTCCTTTTGCTGTTTATTTTTCTTGAAATTTCCAATGCTTTATTACTAGGAGTTAAATCTTTCACCACAGCAAACTAACATGGGCTTCCCTAACTTTATACTGAATTACACGTGCTGAGGCTCTGTATCTGCACCTTTGTATTTCAAAGGGGTGCCAGCACTTAGAAGAGTTTAAAACTGGCAAAAAGCTATTTTGGTTTTGCTTCCTGCTTCCTAAACTCAAAGTGTGATAAAGCCTACTCAGACATTAGAACATTATTTTTCTAAATCTTATGGTTGTAGTTGGATAAGCAGGCAATCAATCTGACTGGATACTGAGTAGTGAAGTCCCATCACTGCAGCATCAATGTTAATGGCAAGAACGGTAACCCATAAGGGTTAGTAGAACTCTGGACTTGATAAACATTTTTATGAGACTCATAAGGCTTGAAAAATCTGTGTGAGCTCCTCATCAGTGCTAGATGAAAACCCTCCATGCAAAATACGTCCTATGTCAGCAGGAAAGGTTTTGAAACATAGCAGTATTACCCCTCCCATGGCCTCTGGTGCTATCCAGAGGCTCCTGGATGGATGTGAGCCCCATGTCCATCCATAACATCTCACAGGGCTGATGGGAGGCTGCTCAGTGAGACACAAAGCTGTGTTTTGCAGCAGCAGGGGCAGGGAGTGCAGGAAGGGCAGCTGGGAGGAACGAGGTGAGGGGCTGAGAAGGGGCTGCCAGCGGGTGGGTGCTGCTGGGCAGGTGGATGTGGCTGCGGTCACCCCGGGTGAGGATGACTCCCACAGGGTTACATCCCTCAGCACATCCCTTGCCAGTCCTGGCACAGCCCTTTTATAATGCATGTGCTTGGAAAAGGGGCCAGGTGACACACAGGGGAAGAAATGCAGGTTATGTGGAGTATTCTCTTTGTGTCAGTATTTCCTAGCACATGCTATAAAGGCAAGTGGATCTGTTTCTCACATATCACAGCTCTCCCTCTAAAAGTTCGAAGTGGTGAACAATAATATTCTAATGTAATGCTTTCACAGGCTATGAAAGAAGCTTCAGTCCAAAAAGTCAGAGTGTTAATCTGCTTTCAGGGAGCTCTCCTCTCAATTCTTGTGCATCTCTAATAGGCATGGTGATGATGCAGTACCAAAAACACTACTCTGCCCTTTTGGTGATGGATGTTAACAGTCATAAATAATCACTGAGTCCATGATAAGTAAGAGGAGCTTATTCCTTTGCAGTCCCAATAATGTGTCACACCATGATCCATCACTGTGTCTCATGAAAATGAATTGGTCTTTTATCTTTTCATTCCTGCACATTAACAGCCATTTGCATTTTCCTAAGATGAATTTTATAAAATGTTCAGTGACAGATTCTTTACAGAAATGGCTTCAGATTTTCCAAGGCACAATGGAGGAGGACAGATGTCACACAGAGGGCTTCACTCACTCTGTGATGCCTTCTGGCTTGCAGAGAACTGAAAATGTTTTTATTCTAAAGGCTCTGCTTTGAAAGTGCCATTTCACCTCCTGAGTTACTAGTGAAATAACTACACTTATGCCAAATTGAGACACACTAAAAAGTGACATGGAACAGCTGTGTTTGACATTATGGCTTCCACTTACAAAAGGGTTTCCTTCTCAATGCCTAGGAATTTGCATGGAATAAACAAAGTTGTGATTTCGCATGTTTGAGAGCTCCAGCATCCTTGCCTGATACACATTTTCTCACAGTCTGCTCAGAGCCTGCACCTAAATCCTAGATAGTAATGTATATAGCAATTCATGTTATTCTCTCAATATTTGTTTCTAAGTTGTGGCCAAACATTTGAACATAAATGAAAACAGTTCAGGCTCACTGAACATTCACTCCACCTGACTGCTCTGTTTAGTTAGCATTTGGTTTTGTTTTGGTTCATTTCAAGAACCTTTGGATGACTTAATATGTGTTGTTCTTTTTTATTATTATTATTATTATTTAATCAGAAGAAATAAACTAGCTCCAGATTAGATTTGCACAAATGTAACAGTATTAATGAAGTGTTTCCTTCTACTGTGACAAAAGTGAGCTCGGCGTCAAGCTCAGCACTTTCCAAGTCATACAAAACTGCCGTAGGGAGGGAAAGGAACCTGCACTCCGAGCCCTGTGCCATTAACAGCATTGCATTAGGAGCCCTTTGCATAACCAAATAGTGCTTTGGGTCACTTCAGTGTCATATCCAGTTGACTAACTTCACTTTTCCTTACACACACACACTTCATTCTCTTCTCTTTTGTATCTAAGCAGGACTGTTAAATGGGACATTTTATCACAGAAATGATTTGCAAAAGACCTTTAATGTTTTGTTATCTATTTTACATGTCCCTCACCTCATTACTGACCATTTTTATGCTGCTTCAAATTATTTCCCCTCACACATGTCCAGAACTTCCTATGAACTTTTGGTTTCTGAGCCCATCAGTGACACACTCGACTGAAACACCCTGGACACTTCCATCCCATAGAATCAGCCTTAGTGTGCTGCACACAGTTTCTGGAAGGTGATAAAATTGCATTACCTAATCTTTTCTCACAATTCATGTTGTAATTTTCTCTGAGGTCCAGCCTTCACTCCAGCACTGCCACCTTGTAACAATCTGTTTTTCCATTATTCCCAAACAGAAGCAATAGCAACATTTGAGTGTAGTGTTAGGTAATATATCAGGCAATGAAAAATTGGGCCTGTGCTGATCACTTCTGTCTCAGTGTTAGCAGTATGTCTACACTTTTATGGCTTCACCTAACACCAGATTGTTTGTACTGAGATATGGTCAGAGTGTCTGTTAGAGATCCACTAGGACTTCAGCTGAAATAATGCCAGCTCTGCCCTGCTCTCAGGTATTTTGGCCTCCAGAGTTGTGGAAGCCAGCCAGGAGAAAAGGGCAGCCAAGGTACCTTAGCTGTGTCATGGCTAGCTCTGATACAGGATCAGAAGAGGAGGCAGGAATTGCTTTCATGTTTTCTGACCTGCATTCCAGCTGTTGGGACGATGGGAGTAGTGAGCCAGCACTGGGTACCAGTTGCTTAGGAGCAGTCAGGATCTCTAATTCACTTTGATTAAATGGGGGCTTGGATTACGTGACTGTCGTGCAGCGATTACTCGCTGCAGTTTATCATCCGTAACCGAATTTGTGATTTCATGTTGAATGGCTTTCAATTTACTTTTCTCCTTAACACTTATGAACTCATTCACTGATGATTACCAGTGTTTCCTGGCTCCTTGCTAGCTTTGGAGGAGATGAAGTAGTTCAGTCTAATGAAGCAGAGACTTTTAGCTGGAAAAATTATGCTACTCTTTTTGCATTGGGTTACTCTTCCCTTTAACTGCTTTCTTAAAGATGGTCTGTAGAGTGAGAAGCATTAACCCCAGATCTGGCAAAGAAGGCAGCACATACAACCTATGTCTTCATTAGAAAAAACCTCATTGAAGATTAGAAATCAAAGCTGAACATCTAGTCAGCCTAGTGGGCAGACCCCACCTCCACGCTATTCAGTGTATTGAGCCCATGTGGAGTGCTCTATTTGATACATAAAAAATGGAAGCCTTTTTCAAGTTCTGAACATGGTCTGTAAATCTGCAGCTGAGCATCTTTCTTTTACAAATGGGGGAAATTTTGCCTGAAAGTTGTTGGATTCGCTTCATAATCAAGTTGTTTTCATTTAAGATATCTTTGTGTGTTGAAAACCTTGTCTGAAGGTTATTTCATTGTGTTCTCCCTGGTCAAATGTTATTCACAATAGAGCGGATGTCATGACCCAGTAATCCTATTTAATGAAATTCAGTGTCTTTTGACTAGTTAGCAAAGGGAGGTACCATTCAAACAATTACCAGACCTTAGCATTCAACTTGTGACTAATATCAAATCAGAAATGACTCTTGCTGTTCTCCTTCTGTTCACCTTGAGTGAACGTTAAATTAATTAATAACTCTAGACATCATCAAAGTCCTGAGAATCTGCACCCACACTGTAATAGAAGCAAAAAAAACCATTTCTGATGGGTACATTTAATTCACCTCATAAAGCATTCTGCTAATTTCCTTATCTCTTGAACTATTTCAGGCTGATAGTGTTGCACATTGTTAGAAAAATCTCCAAGCATTTTCAGACAGGGAAGATTATTAACCTCTGTGCACTGACAGCAGAACAAAATGGGTACTTCAAGGCATCCTGCCTTAAACACACTGAAAAGTCAAAAGACAAGGCATCCTGCACTTCCCTTTCTCAAGGATCAGCTACAGCTTCTGTGTGTTTCCAAACAGCTGCAACATTTGTCCAAGGAAGATCCAGTAATCTGTTTAGTGTCTGCATATTTGTCTGAAGAGTGTTTAACAGCCTTTTGAGATGATCAGCACTTTTTAAAAGCAGTTTGCTATGGGCTGAGTCCATTTCCATGTCTGACACTGCAGAGACTTCAAACACACCTCTAGTGTATTTTAAACATAAATAAACAGTGAGCATATATACAGATATTCATGAATACCCTGAAATCTGTTATCACCACTGTGATAAAAGGCCAGAGATGCTTCTCAGTAGTGGCTGGAGGAAAAGGAGAGGGAAAGAGTACTTAGTGCTGACCTGACTTTTCTCTGAAATAAGCAATAAAGCTTCTTTGAGTTTCAATGCACAGAGGTCACAGGTTAGCAATCTTGAAAATTTTCTTCCCCGAAGTCTATAAATATCTGGAAATGCCACTGAACTGTTCTTCGCTAGCTTATGATGCTGTATAACTGCCTTTTGCGTTTACATGGAGAATTTCAGTACAAACTTCATGGCTGTTTGCTTCTTCAGAGCTGAGACTCTCTGAGGAGAGGCCAACCATCTGTGTAGCTGGTGCTCCCTGACAAAGCTGAACATGATCCACTGCTCCTGGTGTCACACACAGTCCGGATCACACCCCTTGCACAAGCGTGGGGGAGAGGCTGGGAAAGCCAAGTGACAGCAGAGGTGAACCAGAGGGCTGAGGGAAGGGCAGACCTTCATTTACAGTGTGGGGCTGGAGTGGCACACCTGTGACACGTGGCTCTGCAAAATTCCTGGGGGTTTCGGGATACACCAAGGTGAAGCAGAAAGCCTCATAGCAAATACGGATTCTTAGCATCCTGGAATTAGTTGTTTGTGGTTTTGTGTTTTGTTTTTTCTCTAGAATGCCCAACAGAAATACCATGAGAAGCAATGACATGTGAAACCACAAAAGGTAGCTGCAACGGCTGAGCTCTGTGGTTATTAATTGTAGGGGTAAGAGCAGGGGAGAAAAATCTCAGTGCAGTGAAATGTTCTTTTAAAGGCTAAATAAATCCAAATGTGAATGAACTAAACATTTAAAGGAGGCCTTCAGACAAATTAGTGCCTTGTGCCCTATGGGTTATGTAAATGCCATCTAGATTTTACAACTGTAACCGACCTTACCATTTTGTGCTACTGCATGAATACAGCACATGTTGAAACTGATGAAATAATTGTTTGTGTACATAAGTAAACCACCCTGGAACAACTAAAACTTGCAATTAATGAAGATATTAAAGGCAGACACGACAACATTCAAAACAAACCAATAAATAATTTATATTTTTAATTACTATAGTTATTTATAATTATAGTTATTTATGGTTACCAAGTATTAGTAATGGTTTGCTACAAGCTCCAAACCACTTACTATTAAGCCAGTCTGTATCACTGTTTTAACTGCTTTAAGCAAAGGCAGCCCCACAAGCAGAGGAAAGTATCTCAACTATGTGACCAGCTGGCAAACATTTTTTTTCCTTCTTTTGAGGAGAAAAGTAGAATATCATTAATTAAAAATATTTAAGATACCATTCAGCATTTGTTTGGGTCGGTTGTTATAACAGCATAGTGTGGCTGATGAATCTTTGGAGTAAATAAACAGTTTGCTTCTGTAGAGATGCATTTCTGCACTGCTCTTCTCCTCTTCCTACTCTCTGGACTGCACTGACAGATCTAATCAGGTATTTAATTGTGTTCTTTCAAAAGTGAACAGAAAGGGTATGCAATAATCAGTGAGGACAATTTCAAAGGAAAATACTTACTTTCTCCTGAAGAAAATGATTGTCTCTCTTTGGGACTGTGTTATTAAGAATAAATGGCTGTAAATGTGGATTGCAGATGATTTACGTTATATCCTGGGATTTTGGGGATGAGTCATATTACTGTACCAGACAATGGACAAATAAAAAAATCTGCTTCTGTTATTAGGAGAAAAAAAATATATAGTGGAATAAAAGCATTCTTCGGTACACTGATAAAAGCAAATGCATATTCAAAAGAATTGTAGAAATGTGTGTTTATATCACTAAAACACAAAAAGCTTTCATGTCTAGGACTTTCATATTTATGTAGCAACTATACAATGTATGTATCCATTATGTTTCCATTTTACATATATTTATGTACTTAAAAATGTATATTTTGAAAAACTAAGTCCTAACATATTGTCTGGAATATCCGCTATCTCTGGATCTCTTCTGGACAGAAAGAAGGCAAACCCTAGAAATCCACTCGCTTTGGATCTGGCTTCTGACAGTCCTTGATGAATAACAGGTAACAGTGTCATTTTTAAGAGGCCTTCAGCAGAGATAAAAACTTGTGCATTAACTGCCATGTTTCTGTGCTATATCAGAGAATGTAAGAGACAGGTTTGGGCTGAAAATAATGACCCCCTTGCCATGTGCTGATATCAAGGAATATTAAGTACCTTCTTCCAGCTCACTGAGTCCTCACAGATTTAAGGCAGAACAGCATTGCTGTCTACAGCAGGGTAATGCACAGGACAGCCTGTTGCTGGAGGAAGTCTAAGAGAAAGCCAGGCTGAGCTACATTCAACACAATATCATTGCTCATTTCTCTGTTCATTAAAACAGATTTTAGGAAAGGAAAGTAAACTTAAGTCCACAGTGTGTGAAGTATATATTTGAGAAAAAGTTGAAACAGGTGAGTATTTATTAGAAAGTGCAGCAGTTGAGGGAGCAGCATTATCTAGCCTGAGACAATTCTCGGCTGGAGTGGCCAAAGCAAGCAGCCACACACACACACACAAAAAAGGAAAAAAAAAAATAATAATGCATTTTGAATAGGAAATTGGAGGGGGGAAAAAAATATATCCCTTTGTAAATGGGGTCCTTCTTAGCATGATACTACTTGAGTGAGTTTTCAGAATGAGTCTGAAAAGTGCCATGCCATTAGAAGTGATATAGATTTATGGTCAATCGACAACCATACTTTGCTCAGGATAAAGAAAAGCAGTGTAGAACTGTACTGCATCATCCACCAGGCTGTTTAAACTCCTTTTACTGAAGTGGAAGCCCATCATACTGTTACTGAATGCTTTTTAAATGTTCTGTAATTAGTTTCCAGAAATAAATTAGCTAACAGTGGATGAATCACAGGCTTTTTTCTGCACACTCCAGTGTGATAAACCCTCAGAGATACTTGAACCTGGAAAAGTCACAATTCAGTGCAGTTACAGCCTTGCCAGCCCTGTACAACTTTCTCATAATCAGGTCCTGGCTTCCATTCCTTCTTCATGCTGTCTCCAATGAAATCCACTCCCCTTGGCACGATACCTTGTCTTGCTTTTTTAGGCGTGATGTGGAAGTATAGCAGGGTGCACAGCTGAACTCTGCTTTCACCTCCCTTTGAAGTTAACAGAACGGCAGAATGTGCATGTTAGAGTATTTCTCTTATTTCATTCCCCAAAACAGTGCTTCCTGGGAGCTTTCCAAAGCCAATCAGTTGCTACTTTGGAATTCAGGACAGTAGCTGGACACAAGCCAGTTCTTCTATTAAATATCAACAGCATCACCACCTGAAGCTACCACGAACAGGACAGAACCAAGCGGAAAATGCCACTAACTCATCTATGGATTTTTGCCCTGCACTACTTTTGGCTGGCTGCAGTAATCACATAATCATCCATTCAAATCAGGATTGGCAAGAAAGAAACACCAAGTAAAATGCAGCTAGGAGTAGAGAGGAATGCAAAGTTCCAAGTGACTGTCCTCCTTTTGAGGGTTGTTGCTGGTTTTCTATTTTACTCCTGAAATAACTTTACTGTTGCTTTGAAACCTCTGATGCTGTTACAGCTGAGGTATTAATCAGCAGTTTACTTGTTAATGTCCTGGTTTGGGCCAACAGCGGAAACACTGGCTGGCTTGTTTCATACAAAGGTTCTAAAGAAAGCGCTCTGGGCTGGTGAGCACAGAGCACTTTATTTTGCTTTTGGAGAGCAGTGAAGATTTCCTTTTGATGTACAACTGTTTCCATCACAGATTTGATACAGTGCCTCCAGCATACAAAACTGCATCCATGATTATGGAAATAAAGGCATAGGATGGGAATAAGGCTCCTGCAACACATTTGAATGAGTTAATTACAATCCTTCCACCACCACCATTGTCCAGTAGCAAAACCCTGCATTTGCTGTTTAACTGGACACAGATTTAGGGCAATAAATATTGAGTTGTCATAGGAGATTCTGTATGATTTGCAGAAAATCATACAGAAAAAAGTTTTATTCTTTCCTTCTCTTTTCTTCACACCACCTACAGTAAAGAAGTAATGGAACAATTACTTTCATTCCTCTACTGTTTTGTCACATCTTGCAAAACAAAGCAAAGTGAATGAAGATCTCATGCTAGAGCACATTTCCTGCTGCCTTTCATCAATGCTATCAGACATTGCCCTCCACACACTGCTCACCACCATTTCTCAGGGTGAAGAACCCCAGCCTTTCCATCCAAAGCTGGTGCTTCATATATATACTCTAAGGACTTAAGACATTCAGCTGTTTCTCCTCCCTGCTGCCAGAGGAGAGGCAGGGACTGCCTGCACAGCACAGCCCTCACCAGTTCCCAAGGGTCTTCACAAGACCTCTATAACAGCAGCCACTTCCAAAATGAGAGCAAGCAGTTGTTTGCAGAAGCAGGGGCTTCACACCAGAAGGACTTGTCGTAAAAAACGCCTGATGTCTGACAGCCAGGCAGAGCTTTCCGAGCCTGCACCCCGCAGTGTGCAGCCAGCCTTCTCTGGAGGAAGCACAGGGCTGCCTGGGGGACATCGGAGCCTGCTGAGAGCTGCTGGCATGCCTAGGATATTTCTGAGACAGACCAGTGTCTAGGGAAAAAAACTCTGCCTGCTGTAGTGTTTTGCTGAATTTTCTGCTTCTCATGTTAGGAAATATCTGAGACTATGGAGTCTCCATCCAGACAAACATTAGGAGCAAAATACCCAGACATAGCTGACAAAAGTCAAGCCCAAGCATTTAAACAGGAGCACCTCCTAAAGCACCAGTGGCTGCCCTTACGCTACTGCAGCTGCATATTCAGAAATCAGACATTTCAGACGTAGGTGATGAACAAAGGGCTCAAAAGTTTAAGGGTCACTGGGGAAGGGAGACAGGCCGAGAGATCTCTGAAGGCACTCACATGTCAAAGTTAAAGACGGAAAAATGCTACTCATCCAGGTCACGAGTCTTGGAATAACTCAGACTTATTATCTTACTTTTACAGTGTCTGCAGATGTTATTCTGACTACTTGGTTCTGTTTTGTTGTTGTTGTTGTTTTGTCTTTAAGAAATCAGATCACATCTACTGTAAGAATTTAAATTATCTATGTGTCTAATTTGTATTTCTTGTATGTGTTTTGCTGCGAAAAATGGATTACGCATTCAAGACTCACCAGAGTGGCTGCAGAGTTTAATGAAGGCACAACTGATATGCTGGCTGCAAATGCCAGCTGGTTTCCACACTAAAAGATGAGCTGAGATGAAAAAAATGCTTTTCCTGAGCTCATACCTATCTTGAAGTGGTTGCGAAAAGGCAGCTCCAACATGGTCTTAGGAAAGTGGGCAGATGACTATCAAAGACATTCTCCTGTTCTGATTAGTGCCTGTTAGTAAAGGACAATTAAAAATATGAAATATAACCTAAATAATATTTGCACACAAAAATTATTTCAGACTTGTGGACAGACAGTGGGATGAAATAGGCTTTGTATGCAGATGTCACAAAGGTACAACAGAAATGCTCTGAAAGGTGGGTGACCCTTACGGTATGTAGGTCATTTATTGAATGGGATTAAAAACTGAACTGGACTCAAAGATAAAATAGGGAAAAAATGGGCAAGAGAGGGCAGAAATCCAACAGAAGCAAACCGTTGATACATTATGTATCACTGACAGCAGTGGAGGAGCTGCTAAACTCCTAACCTGGGGTTTAATGGTTCCTATTTATCACGCAAGACACAGGTGGTCTGAGCGAGGAAGAGGTGCATTAATAATTCTGACGACATTCAAGAGAGCACACAATTGCTGAAAGTTTGCAAAGAAAGCCCCTGAAAAGGCAATATGCAGGGATGGGGGCTGTAACTATGCACCGACCCTCATCCAGCTCCTGGGGATGCTCAGGTCCTGGCTGGAGGCAGAGCAGGACTGGGAGCCCCCGGCACAGCCCTGGAGTGCAAGGACCTCCAGCTGGCACCCTCACGCTGCTCTGGCCTTTGTGGGGCAGCTAACCCAAGAGGAAGAAGAAAACTGCGTGCTTGCGTCCTCTCCTCCAGCATTTACCATCCCCCTCTAGGTCATTTCAGCCCCAAATGTCAAACTAATTAGGGAAAAACAAAATCTGATTAGAATCCCCAAGCTGAGATGGCAGCCTCATCAAATGTCTGGTGATTCTTTCTCTGTCAGTAATTTGTTTTCTTTTTTGTTCTTGTTTTTCCTCTCTTTGGTTTGAGCTGTCTTCAGGAGGGAAAACAAGCCCTCTCTGAGGATGTTTCTGAGGTATTACCTTTAATGGGCCAGTATTCACATTTGTGTGTTTGTTTACATTAAAAGGAACCTGATCTTGTTAAAAAAGCTAATTTATGCTGGCGATAAAATTCTAACTAAACCCCTCAACTCTTCGGATATTTTCCTAACTAAACCTCTTAACTCTTTGGATATTTATCTACCATTGTGTTGAATTCAGTATGTAATTTCTGCAGTGTGCCACCAGTGATGTATCCAGGTTGTAATCTCTGCAGGAGAAGCTTCTGTATGTTTTCACCGATGATACTGAAGGCCATCAGAAAATAACAGATAATCTTACTAATAATGCCAGCACCAGTTTCTTGATTGTATCATGATCCATTCCTAGGAAATTCTTAGGTAACTACATGTAACTTTTTTTTTTTTTTCTTTTTCACTTATGTAGAAATATCCATCCTGCAGGCTCTAATCCAGTTAAATGTTTTGGTGGTGGTGGTGGTGGTGTTTTCCCAGTCATAGAGGCATCCAAAGAATAAGACAGTCTATCCAGGAATGTATGTACATTATAAGCACTGCACATTCACGTCTTTGTTCCTAACTTTTTCAGAAAGATGTTTTTGATAAGAATTTAAGGCAGCAGCAATCTAATTTACACACATAGCTAAGCTGCAGAAATAATGGCCGTGTAGTCAGCTATGCAGCATGACAGTTTCCTGTCTCACAAAATTCATCCATCTCACCTGCTGTAAATGCTTAAATCCCCATCTCTCAAAAACATTCCTGACTTGGTGTCGCTGATCTGTTGTATACAAAGGCTCACTGTCTGCCTTCATGGCCCATCAAATGTGAAGGTACCTTACCAGTACAACTGAAAAGAAAACATACAAACAAACAAACACAGCACCATACCAGTGCTGCGTAATCCTGCTCTAGCAGGTTCCTCAATGGGACGGGTGTGAAATGACCATGGAACTGGAGGCTATTGGCATCGAGAGCATTCAGCTAAATGAATAAAATCATCATCTCTCATTAAGTCAGCAGTATTTGCAATAAATAATACTGATAGAGACCAAAATGTCAGGGATATGCTACATTTTGCTATATTTTCTATGCAATGCTTGAAAAAAATATTGTTTCAATTCAATAATGGTTCACTGAGGAACGTATTGGATATGTTGATCTGTGCGACAATAGATTGAGCTGCAGTCATCTGATTTCTTTGTGCACATTTCAGAAGTGCATCAGCAGCTGAAGGGTATATGGAATTTGTAGGTGACTGCCTTGGTACCAGCAGTAATGTGGGATATATTGTCTGCTGTCGTTCATTAAGCCACACATTTGAACAATAGAAAGTAACTGAAGACAATTAGTGGAATAAAATACATAAAGGGATATTAAAATAGTTTTGAGGCAGAAAGGCAGTATGTCAGTGTTAGTGAGAAGACTGCTAGGAAAACAGAGCAAATATAATTAAGCATCACTTTGCTGTCAAGAGTTCAAGTTCAGCTAGCAGAAGGAATTGTTATGACAAATTGTGATGAGGACACATCTGGGAATGGTGCTGGAAAACAGGACCTAGCGCCAATTACAGTCTGTGCCATGAGGTAATGTCAGACATCACTGCAGCTTCTTGTGGTGGTCTCCAAAACATTCTAGTAAAATGCCCTCTGTGAGTCCAACAGCATTGTTCAGCATCAGTGCAGGCTAGCAAGTGGGGCCTCTGTCTCTCCAAGCACCTCAAAATATTTTAAAAATCTGTCTTCCCCTTGTCTTGGAAGAAAACTCTCCATCAAATAATTTTTGGATACACACATAAAATGCGCATTACATCTTTCCAGTTGTGACCTTGCTTTTATCATAAGAAAATGAGTTATGTGAGCCCTGACCCATCAGTTGTTTTAATCATGCCCTCTGTTTTCCACATTATCATCTATAAGGGATCAGGTTCCTAGGATACCATACATATATTTATTTAATCATTAAACTATCACAGAAAACCTAATGCTGGCTGTGCTGTGCAGCCACAATACTGGGTGTGGAATGACATTAAAAGACATACAGGGGCATAACCGCATGCTGTTCTATTTACAGCAGTTAGAGTCATTGAGCTTTATTGGTAAAGATAAAACAGAACTGTTCATAAATGATCCTGCTAAATCAGGTAATGAGCAGCAGAGTCAAAGTGAAGCGTCTATTTCCTAAAGTCAGCTGAAGTCCCGCAGGTGGGCACCACAGGCACTGATACCAGCAGCAGGCAGGGCTCGTCACCCCTGAGATGCCTCTTCATGGCTGCCAGGGGCTCTTCAACTGCATAGGTGCGTCTGGGGCTTTCGTCTCACATCTGTCCCTGCACTGGCAGAATGATTTTGCAAGGTTTGGAAGCCTCCATGTAACCTTATCCACAAAGTGGGCTACCAGCTTCCTCAAATTTGTATATTGTACCCCTTGATATTTAGGAGTAGTCAACTGGAGACACTTTTGTTAAGCAGAGAGTTTGACATGCCCAGTACCACACAGCTCCTTGACACAGCCCTACGTGGTAGTACAAAACCATGGGTTATGCTTGGAAAACATTAATCCAAAGAGAAAAGACACGCCGCTGAGCGCCACAGGAGTACAGCAATCCTGTCTGCCTGTTCTCACACCCTGCCTCTCAGCTGTCCCAGCTCCGTGGCTGCAGCTGAGGAAGAGCAGGCTGAGGCAGCTGCAAAGCTTCAGCACGCACACAAATTGCCAGTGCTCCTTTCCCCTTCTGTTTAACTGCAGGATGCATAGTTGCGTGGTGAGAAAGTGGGATGTTAATCTAGCTACTTTTGCAGAAGAATGAGTGCAGTTTTCCAACAAACATTTTAACATCCACATTTTTTTAGCCACCACATGACCACTACTCAGGCATGAGTCTCAGAAATATTATTTCACTAATGTTTAAGAGCAAAGCCAGAGGGACCACAGACACTGTGTTTTTCAGGAGTGCACACAGCATAAGGAAACACGCAGCTGTGATGCAGAAGACAACTCCACTGTGCTTCTGGGCAGGGCTGAAGGATGCAGGGGCTCTGCCGAGTTATACATAACAGTTGTTGCCACTAGATCTACTTCAGGTAAGCCCCAGGGGAGATCAAGAGCCAGCACACCAGAGAGAGTGCTAACCAAAGGCTAATTCCTACCCTGAAATGCTTTCAGCTTAGATGGTGGAAGCAAGCAGCACATCCTGAAGCATTGCTGTCCTTGGCAGTCAGTGCAGAACTGCAACATAGGAGAGATGATGGTGACCTCTTCTTTGCAACATGGGAAGGCCGAACTGGGACTCGTGGGAGAGAAATTCTGTGACAAAGCTGAAAGTCACACCTGCACCTCTGAAGTCTCACCCTGCAGACTGAAGCAGCCAACCTCACTGTCAGATTTCCACGAGCAAGGGAAGCCACAGCCCCACGGTAGGGCAGCTGATGGTTTTGATGCTCACACCTCTTCATTTATTTTCAAAAACTGAAATTGCCATCAGGAAGAAATTAGCATTGAGAAGAGAAAAAGGATCATGTGCCCTCCATCACCTTCTAGAACCTGAATAAAACTTTTTTTTTTCCTTTTTAAACTACCCTGTCATTAGTGTTCCCTGTAGATTTAATGCTAAATGTTTATTAAATTCAGTGATCAGGACCTGATCCTTAAACCAGACACAAACATCCCTTTTATTTATACAAGACCTTGAATAACATTAGCCAAATTCCCTGTTTTCTGATATAATTCAGCTGACTTAGTAGGAGTCACCCTTTATAGCAACATCAATGAGAGAAGAGCCAGGTTCAACACTTATTTTCCATCCACACCAGAAGTTAACTCACAGCTTTATTCCCTAAATCTGCTGAAAGCGTTGTTGATGGCAGTACATGAACAAAGGCTCCTTCACTTGCTGTGTTGTGTACGTTGTTGTTGTTAAACAAACATGCCCATGTTAACTTCAGCCTCATGGTAAACACAAGAAAAACATTCATCCTGGGATCTGGAATATCGGGCAGATACTCGTTAAAAAAGGGACGTGTTTTAACCATAAATAAATAAATAATAACAGTAATAATAATAATAATTAATAATAATAATTAATAATAATAATAAAAACACCACTCCAAAACCAAAAAGAAAAAACAAACACCACTGGAAACCCGGGGTACATAAATACCCACGATTATAAACCTTAAAAAAAGAAAATACACTTAATATGTCCTGCCTGGTATGTCTTGAGTCATGGATAAGAGGATTTAACATTCTTTTTACTCTATCCACTTTTAATAGGAAAATCCAGGTGCAGATGTGGGCTTGATTCCAGTGCCAAGCTGCCTGCTCTGTTTAATAAAGAGTTTAATGCAATTTAATCCAAAGAAGCAAAGAGCCCTAAGACACCAGCACTAGAGTCAGAATCCTAATTAATTTTCTGTTGGTCACAGTTGTCACAGAGATTCCCCTGCTTGTGCTTCTGCTAATATGGTTTAAAAAAAAAATCCAATAAACTCTGTTTGCACTCAGTCACAACTCCTAGGGAAATGATTAATATTTATATAAGAAAATAGAATATTACCAACCAGAATTATTCAGTTATCTCCCCTTCCCCTTGCTCCATCCCTCCCCATGAGATTTTCCTGTCATTAGTGATGGGATAAGCATAAATGCATGGAAATACCTCTGACAGAGCCTGCCTTGCCTGATTTTGGTGTTTTGGAAAGGGAAGCAGAAGCAGCTCTTTTCCCCTCTGCCAGCAAGGCTGCAGGGAGGCAGGCACGGGAGCCTCTCCACCATACAAAGAGGAATGATTTCTGGCCTGCGAAGATGACCAGGTCCTTTGATTTTAGTGGGCTTGTGACACCATTTTGCAGGATGCCATTGGTGTGCCCTCAGCCAGGGGAAGGCATTGACAGAAAAGCCATTAATTACTGTACCTTCAACCCCCTGCAACCACTGTGCGTTTGTACAGACAAATGTACACCATAAAGAACTGCCTGCTCAAAAGGCAGGCTTACGGAGACCCAAACAATGCATCCAAATTCAATACACTCAATGCAAATGAAGAAACAAACACCCATATTTTTTGACCTGTAGCCATAGTATTCCTTTTGTAACATGATGACACCATATTGGGTTGCTTTATTTCCTCCTGATTCAAAAGCCAAATGGTATTTGCTGAAAATCTCTTTTTTTCTGAACTTAATACAATTTCCTTCTGACTATAGAAATAAAGTTTTTCTTCTGAGATGAAATAATAAACATTTGAAAATTTAAGCAAACTGAGCCCTGTTGAGATGCTTTGAGGTTAATATAGATTGCTTTTTTTTTTTTTTTTTTTTTTTCCCACAAATCACAGATTGTAATAAATGTCAGAAGTACAGCATGTTATATGAGGGATTTGTCATTAAGCAGCCTGGGATAAATACAACACGTCCAGTGTCTGCCTGTTCACTGGAAACAGTTTCATTGCATTGCTTGGTCTCACCTTCATCGTTTTCACCTCCATTTAAAGCTACCCGAAGCAGAGTGAGTTCCAATGAGAACACAAGCACTGATCAAGTACATCTGTTCCTGTCCAGGGGAAATGGATTTTATAGCATTCCAGACCATGCACAAAGCATGAGGAAGACAGCATATGTAATGGATGCTGTAGGAGCTGGAGAAAGAAGCTACAGCAGTGGCGGTCCTGCTGCCCATGCCTGTGGCTCTTCTGTGCCACAGGGCTGTGGAGGCTCAGCAATGATCTGCATTTGGAAACTTTCAGCTCTCGACTTTGCTCCATCCTCTGCCCTCTGACTTCCCAGAAAGCAGAAAGCTTCCCAGAAAACAGAAAGCTCCTGCACAGGCCGAGGGACTATTACTAGTGCCTCCTGTCCTGAGGAATTTGGCAAGAAAATTAAAGAGTATTGCAACCTGTTTTCAAAAGAAGACGTTTTCCATGTGAAGGAAGAACCTCTAACCAAGCACAAAACCAATACTCTTCCAACTGGGTTCCACTATAGCAGCAAGGGAGGGTATCAAAATTTTCTCTTTCCTTACTTTTCTGTTGTAATCTATGTATAGTAAATTACACAGTTAATAATAATAATAATAATAATAATAATAATAATAATAATAATAATAATAATAATAACAACAATAACAATAACAATAACAATAACATTCACAAATGTTGCTGGTATTTTATTTGAATAATGCACGTGATGACCAGCGTTTGGAGTGCTACAGATCCCATACAGGAAAATAAATTATTCTTCAGATTATTTGAAGGACGGTGGCGTTGTTCACCAGACAGCATGCCTGCAGGTGATCTCTGTGGAGACACGACTCCTCTCAGCCTGGAGCTCACAACCACCTGCACGGGTCTGTGGCGACACACCGTGACTACCCATGGGCAAGGAGCGAGGCCAGAGCAGCGGGCCTGGCTGGGCCTCCTCGTGCAGCCTGCAGCATGGGCTGTGGCCAAGGCGGGGAACAAGGAGCCTCCAATACCACTTTTCTCCTCCTCTTTGCAGGCTGAATAATAAATGTTGCTAAGGAAGTCCCGTGACTGGGAAAAAGTCTCTCACAGCTCCTGCTTTTGCCATCATCACTTGGGATATTTAATCTTGCAGCAGCACATGAGGGCTGGTTGGTGCCACAGGGGCCAGCACCATCCCCACCAGTGGCAGCTCCAGCTCCGAAATGTGATGAGCAGGGTGAGACAAGCCCATCACAACAGAAAGCTGAAGGCAAAAAAGGCCAAGCTCTCATGGTGATAAGCGGTTTCCAGGTTGCAGTTCCTGCATATACTGATTTTTCTCAGCAGGAAAGAGAATTTTCCCCATATTTCCACTGTAGCGAAAAAGTGACTCTCTCTCTTCATCAGCAATAATGTACATGTCAGAGTTGAAAAAGTCAGGTCAATAGTTATTAGCTTCTTGAAACATTATGTCTTGAAATATGAGGGCTTTGGTTTCAGTACACATGCACAGGCTGCCACTGGGGAATGCGGGAGATCAGACTGGGCCCTCCAGGCCTGGCCCACCGCAGGAACTGCTTCAAGACGGGGTGAGGGAAGGGCTGCAGTGTCTGGGGCGAGATGTGGTCCCCGTGTTTTTTCAGGACAGAATACAGTGCATTCTTACAAAATTATTTGGAACAATTTTGTCTCTGCCCCAGAAACTTGCTTTCACTCATTCACTTGTAGCCCAATCATCCCTTCATCACATTCACCATTAAGACTTGTGTAAAGGGTGCTGCAGGAAGCTAAAAGAAAGGAAAAATAAATAACATGCATAGGGTTTGAAAAAAAAAATAATGATATTGTTTCTTTGCTACAGAGAAGCCATACTAGTGCTTCCTACCAAGAACAGCTTACAGGCTTATCACAGGTCAGAGATGGTTTCATCGACATGTTGCTGCTCCCTCTGCCATGCTCTGACCTTGGGCAGGTAATTTATCTGGTCGGTGCACCAGTTTTCCCTTCTGCTGAATGGGGGAATTGAATTTTACCTTATAGGGGCATGCTGCGAACCTGCAGAGTTTTAAGGCTGACAGGAGCAGACCTAATAAAAGGAGAAGGTACAGGGCCCTCAGGCAGACAGCTCTGGGTGCGTGTCGCTGGTCTCTGCCCTCACAATGCATTTTATAAACACAAGCAGAAGGCATTCAGAAAAGAGAAAGTCTTAGTAAAAATTAAACGCGAGATTAGCTACTATTCAAAGTCATAAAATTAAATTTAAGAGTTCTAAATTATGAGAGCTTTCAAATTGAAATGCTGCACAATTAGCTCAAACAGAGCAGAAATAAAAAAACATTTATAGCCAGCTCCCTCCTGCTTCCAGTTGGCAGCCGCAGTCACTGTGATGATTGTCCAAGCTTCAGCACGCTCCGCTCGGGAGCCTTGCAGCACCTCAGCAGGTCCCTGCGGGATTGTACCCACAATGTGGCCATGCCACTGTGCCACCGTGCCACCATGCCACTCTGCCATCAAGCCACTGTGCCACCAGCACTCCCCTGCCCCAGCAGCAGCAGCCCCTGCCTTGTGCCCTGGCTTCCCCCAGTCCACCCACATCCTCCAAGTGGATTTTTTGGGAGGAAGGTGAAGTGGTGATTAGGGGTTTCAGTTGGTTGGGTGGGTGTTTTCACTATTAAAGGGTAAAAATGGATAAATATTACAATATTTTTCTCTCTGTTATTTTTTTCTATAAACACTAATTCACAAAATCTGGACTTTTGGCATCCCAGAGGGGTGAAGCGCGTGGCCTGATGAGGGGGAGAGCAGCAAAGGGAGGCTGCAGGCTGCCAAACAGCATGCAGAGCAGGTACTGAGCCTGCCACTTTCACACTGTAGTTCATATGGCGCAGGTCCTCGAGGGGTTGCTGGTCGTGGCCATTTTGGCTGTGCAGAATCACCAGCCCCTGCTGCTTTCCACTCTCCTGGTCATCCTGCTCCTCTGGGATCGCTGGTGACCAAATGGTCTCTCTGAAACTCCATGTCCCAGACATTTATTTGTGGCAGTTCCTTGAGCAGCTTTGCTTGCCAGATACTCTTTGTGTCAGTTAGGCCTTTGGCTGCCTGATATGCTGGAAAATTCACATTTTTCTACTCCTTTTCTATTGCTTTTGAGTTGTATTTATTCAAGATGAAAGCCAGATGTTATATTAATGAGAACTGCCTTTCCTAAAGGGAAACATTCATCAGTGCAGAAGCAGACGTTGTAGCTTTGCTGTGAATTACTTAAATTCCTCCTTTTTTCTTTTGAACAGGAAATCCAAGAAGATGTATCTGAAAGCAATAGTATTGTGTCTGCAGAATAAAAGCCATTTGCCCTAATCCCTTTAAAAGCTGCTAATAGGGATTTAAATGTACCGAAGTTTAAATATGTTTAAATTTGAAGGCAAGACAAATATGAACCTAAAATGTATTGGGGAGGAGGGGGAGGAGAGGAAAAAAAAAAAAAAGAAAGAAAGAAAGAAAAAAAAAAAAGGAATGCTTGGATATTTTACATAGCAAATACATTTCAGATACAACAGAGATTACTATTATCAAACCAGATGTCTTTGTCTTTTTTTTTTTTTTTTATTCCTGGTGTCCATTGATTTTCCTACCGAGCCTCTCCTCCTAAAGGCAGGACCATGGCACATGGACTCTAAATGCCTTGTTACTTCATGCTGAAATAAAACCATTCTACAAAACGGCTCCTCCAGTGTTTCTGTGGCCAGGCATGCAGGGCGGGATGGTGCAGAGTGGTTCAGCACTGTATTGTCCATATGAAGCGGGGCTCACCCCGTCAGGACCCCAACTGGGTCTGGCAGCTGTGGATGCACTGCCCACAGCCTGGTCTGCAGCTTCCTCGTGGCAGCCAGCGGTGAGAAGCGTCCCTTCAGGAGGGTAACTGCCTTAAGCACAGACCAGAATGCCCAAGCTTCTCCCACACCCAGGTTAACACCTTAGAAATATCCTTCCAAGTATAAATTGTAACCCTTAATATGAAATAAGTAAGGTATATATCAAAGATCGCTAATATCACATGTTCTTAAAAATGATCATAATCATAATAACTCCTCAGGCTTTGGAAAAAAAATGTTGTCGATCTAATGCAATTCTCTGTTTGTACAGAATTTTATATCCTTATTATTAAATATTTCCATTATGCTATTGCTGGTATATTTTAAGAAGTAATATAATCTGTTGTAATATAAAGAAGAGTAACAGCATAGCTATTTTGCAAAATACGTTCCAGCTGAACGAGCTAATTAGCTTTTAATAATGAGACTCAGCCAATGGATTTACAAAGCAAGCTACTGGGGCTTAATGATTTCAAAAGCTATCACATTTACAAGTTAATGTACCGTAAATTATTTATGAGCATCTTATAAATAAGTGCAATAAGTTATTTCCAAGAGTAGTGTTGCCTTAAAATAAGGTTCTTCTGAAAAGTGCCCACAGAAATAGAGCTTTGTGTGATCCCATATTTACTGTCTCTGATGCTATTTTCAGATGCAATTTTATAAGTTTGGAAGCAGAAGATCATTTACCAGCCCAGATTTCCTTCAGTCCACATCTCTGCTAAGCCCTGACAATCCCCAGGGTTTGGGAGAAAGCAGAGGCATCCAAGGCACTCTGTGTGATGCTTAACATTTTTGATTTCCTCTTGTAATGGCATGTAGCTCAGGCTACTGAAGCCAGAGAAGCCTCCTCTCTACAAGCAGCAATGTTATCTTTGGCAAAGCAGCCCTTCATGGCATGCAGAAACGAAACAAAAGCCATCTACAGCAGCATGCTGACAACTCACGCCGTGAAAACCCTTACCCTTGCACCTTCCCAAGCCTTCGTCAACACAGAAATTACTTCCAGGGAAGCTTCCCAACACTGAGTTTGGCGGAGCAACACCAGGGTGCCAGCAATGGTCTTCCCTGGCCCCTTCTTTCAGGGGCAGGTTCTGGTTTGCCCAGCGGGCTGAACCACCCTCACCTGGACACAAGGCACCCGTGAAAAACCCGTACGTTATAAGAACTGAACAAAGTCCTTCTGACCAATGCAGCGTCCTTCTCTCCCTGGTACAACAGCAGAGTTTTGCTAATAAAAGGCAAATCAAGCTTAGAAAATGTTGCCATTTGGAGTCAGAGATGGCTTGATGAAACACCACAGGTAATGGAGATCTTTGAACCTGAAGGGAGAATACTACTTTAGAGGAAAGGCTCTTGTAAGGGCAGGAGAGAGGAAGGGCTGGCTGTTTTTTAAGGTCCTTATATTTCTAGATAGCTTTGCTGCCATTGCCATGCTAGTCCTGGGTCAAGGGATTGCAACTGACAACAGAAAGCAGACACTGACTGCAGATGTTGGGGCTAGGGCTTTTGTTTGTATCTCCTGTGGATGCTTTTCTTCAGGATAGTTTTATTGGTGCATCATGAAATCACTTTAATTTGTGAGAATATTTGAATGTCACATCTTCTATGATAGCATCACCTCTGTCAAATGTATCTTTTTATGCAAAAAGAAGTGTTGCAGCACAGATTTTTTACTTTATATACAGCATGTGAGCCTGCTGATTCCAACTGAAAGCCAGCAAATAAACATCAAGAGACAGCCAGATAAGGAAAGACAGGAATGCTTGCCTTATTTAATGGCCTGTCTGAGCCACGTCTTATCATGTTGCTGATGATGTTCCTGGTATTTGTTGTCTTAAGGATGATATTTTCTCCACTTTGTTATTTCTGTTACCGATGTTGTATCTTAGATAACTAAAACCCATCAGTTCCTGTAGAAGTGCAGCCTTTCAGAAGAAGCACCCCCCCCCCCCCCCCCCATGCCCCTTTCCATTCAGCTATCATTATTTAGGTTTGTTTTCATTTCTCTAGGTTTGCCGGGGTTTTGTGGTTACAGCAAGATCTCTTCAGGCCTCACGAGGAACTATGTGGTCCTCCTTGTATTTCTGATTTGAATAATTAGATAGAAATGGTATTTTTAAATAGAGGAAACAGTTGATTTCACAATTGCTCATTGAGAGCCAGATAGTGTTGTATTTTCTCTTGAAAAAGTAACTTGGCAAGATGTATTTACATCATCAGAAATAGGATCGGGGGGAAACACTTGAACCATGTTCACTTGTTGCACAGAGACGCTGCTGAGTACAAATTTGAATCAGCAAAGGTTCATTAGATTCATTAATCCCAATCTTAAGAATGACAACAGCTCCCTTACACAACAAAAGGTGACAAGCTTGAGTCTGTGGATGTCCACCCAGACATGTGCCACTTACAGGAGAGCTTTCGTCCTTGGGGGCAGCTCAGGAACACGGAGTGACTCCCCAGGAGACACCAATTATCACCAGCGGGCTCTTCTGCCTCCCATGTCAGTTCAAGCTGCTTTGCAGTGCTGCTTTCCCGGCCGTGTGTGCCAAGCACTGCAGGCTGTGACTAGTGGTAGGCAGATAGATAGGCTGAAGTGCCCACGTGTGCATGACTTACATGAGCACCAGCACATACCCCCCCACACACACAGACACCACATTGCAACAGTCCAACATATCTCCCCACAGGGAAAGGCAATAAGAGCAAATGTCACCCCACCATTAATAGGGAAAATAACTTTATGTTTTTAAAAGTGGCCAAAAAGGCCTTTGTGAGGTGAATCCACCACTTGGGCATCTTCCTGTGCTGACCTCAAGGTTTCTTAGCCACAAAGTTAAAGTCCTGTTTAGCAGCAATAGCAGGCAATGCAGAAGGGTCAGTTTTAGGCTGCAGGAGGCTAGGAAGGGTGCCAGCATTCACATACTTCTGTACATTTGCTTTAGAGGTTAATAATGATAATAATAATCAGTACATTAAAAATTCAAAGCATAAAAAATATTCAATGAATTCAATGCATACAGTGCATCCAGAAGCCATTGTGGATATTTAGTGTTTCATGGTTGTTGTATCTCCTATCAGCTGGGCACCCCCATGTGCTGGATAGTGAAACTCTGGTGCTAAAAACAATCTGGGGTGATTTACTTACAAGGTTCATATAAATCATATATTCACAAAAAACATCAAGGTCCTTGAGGAAAAAACAAAACAAAAACAAAACAAAACAAAACAAAACCACATAAATTAGAGGTTTAGAGATCAGAATTTAACATATTTAGTGTACAAGAAGTTGGAGGGGGGGAAGGGCATTTTTATAGATTTTATTGAGCTCTGTTTTTCTTCCTCATTTAATTTCTCAAACATTTTTAAACTCTTAAAGTTTACCAAGCATTTCCATCAAGCCTCATCCAGGCAATGAGTCCATGAGTTTTCAGTCAAGTGAAGAATGACAGAGCAATGTCAGCAAGGCATGCAGCTAACAGGAACCAGGTGGTGCTTGACACAATATCTCCAAGCCATGCGTCATCCTGTTGCATTCTTGATCCCCAGCATGACTTCCTGGGAGCAGTGCCAAGGCCAGGCAAATCATTATTTACAATTAATGACATGATGAAGATTGTATACTCTTGAATTTCTCTTCTTGTTGTTTCTTTTGAACTCATCTTTGTCTTCTTTGGGTTTTGACTGTACGCTCTCTTGAACAAGGATCATATTTTCAGTGTTTGGAAAAAGGCCAGAGTCTCCACAGACCAGCCTTCACGCCCACTCTCACCAGAAGAATGAGTGTTGGCTTGCAGACATCTGAAATGGTGCTTCTCCCCAGGGAGCAGTTTGTTCTTCCCTAGCTGTCACCCACCATAAGGCCCCTCGTTCCCTCCTACAGCACGAGCCGACTCCTAGCTGCCTTTCTGCTCTTGCTGAGTTGTCGCATTCCCATCCAAACTAAACTCTCAGCAGTTCCTGGTGCCTTCTCCTCACTCCAGGAACAGCCCTGCCAAGCAGAGCCTAAGTCTATCTCCCACCTGCCTCCCAGACCTTTTCTCCTGCCTTCCTCAGTCACCATTGCAGCCAGCGTGGTCACCTCTGACAGCCAGACCTGGGACCTGAGCAGGATCTCCATCTCCCTGCTCCAGGTTCGGGACGCAGTTTGATCATACAGATTCTTGCTTAAAAATATCTGTAAGATGTAATTTTCTTACACATTCAGCCATAACAATCCTCAGCAGCAACATGTCCCATCGAATACAGCCTTGACTCACAAATTCCATCCTGTTGCTCGTTTCCTTTCAGATAACGTTCCCATGGACCACCCACCCACCCACAAACGCAGAGGTTCTCCTTGTCAGATCCGCCTGTACCTCACAGCTTCATTGCTTGCTGATTCCTAGCTCCGGGCAGACAGGATGCAGGTTCACAGATGGACACCTCGGTGCTTTTTTCCATTAGTGCCTCCAGGTTGGTTTAACTTCTTGTAACAGATATTTTAAAACAGCCTTTTGGGCAGAAAGGCTGCTTGGCTACCTGCACTGTTATCCATCCCAAAACATCAACAGAGAAATCAGAGAAATCAGACTCTTTTCCTGGAAGTGGAGAAATGAGCTTTACTATAAGGAAAAAAAAAAAAAAAAAAGGAAAGAAAAGAAAAGAAAAGATGAGAGTCTCTTGGAGTCTCTTGCAGGAGCACAGTTTAAGGAACACACAGAGCAAGTGCACGTGCTTGACTATAATTTCCCTCATGTGTCTGATTTAAGATGGGTGGTGGCTGTGCATTTACCCTGTAATAAACATTACTTGGAAAACATTTTCCTCCTTTTCCATCTTTCTAAAGGTCTTCAGCAGGTTTTTTTGCCATTTTTCTCAGAGGTTTGTAATTTTTTATTTTATTTTTTTACCTCCTCCATTTGCAGTACATTAAATCTCTCAGTAGTTGCTTATTCACTAGGAATTGGAGATGATTATCACTTTGCAGCTTTTATTTTTTATTCTGATATAATTTACTGCCCAGATTTTATCAATAGGAGTGCAAGGTGGCAGCCTGAGCACCCTGGCTGTAACTGAGGGGGATTTGTGGCTCTCCCTGTCAGTTCCTCAGCCATCCACCTGCGACACCGGAGCACCCAGACCTGCATGAAGAATGCCGCCCAGCCCTCATTTGGGGCTGGCAGCTGCAAACCACGAGGCACCTGCTCTGCCACCCCATCCCCTCCTGCCCCATGCTCCTGCCCAAAGTCCCTCATCAGCTGTGTCCACGCAGCGTCACCGTCACCAGCTCCAAACCCCAATTCCCACAGCTTTATGGAGCCCCGAGCAGCCGCTAGCCACACCACAGGCAGCGCTTCCACAACCCTCTGCCAAATTTCTTTGAATAAATTCAGAATCCAGATGAAGACAAACATGAAAACTGGAAGCAAGTATAAAATTCTGCCTGTTTGTGTTTTGAAGACAATTCCTGCTTGTCGAAGTGCCCGGTTTCTGGGCTTCTCAGGTCACTAGCTGCTTGCTTGGTTGCGTAGCAACTTTTGTCTCTGCCCGCAGGCGCCGAAGGCCACATGTTGCATGAAATAATTGAAGGGTTTCTTGCTTCAGAAGGACTGAAATCCAAGCTGTCCATTTTGCACTTTGTTCCCTGCACTGTTCTCTGATCCCAACCTCCCACCTGGACAAAAAGGGATATTTTTAGCACTGAAATCACAGGTCTATAATTTGTTTCCCCCCCCTTCACAGGACACAGTATGATCCTTCCTGCCCCTGGACATCTCCTGCTACAGACCCAGAGGGGAACCAGGTTCCACGCTGGCAAAGCTTCTGAACGGGCAGTGGAAACCCAGCAGGATGAGGGGCACCCTTGGGCACTGACACAGCTTTTGTTGATTGGGTTGGATTCAGGAGGAAAGCAGTTGTATTTCAGTGCACGGCCGAAGCGTGGTGAGCCCTCAGGATGCCCCACTGGTGTGGATACTTTGTCTGTAAAATTGGTAATGGTAGGCAATCCTCCCAGGTTCTCCTCAACTGCCCTAAGCATGGGCATCTTGTCGGAGCAGCCCAGCTTCCTATAGAAAAACTACAAGAATACCACTTTAAGAATAAAACATTTTAAAGGATCTTTAGGGCAAAATTCTCCAGATGCACAAAACAGCAAATGACTGCCTTTGATAGAAGTATGCAGTGCAAAGCTCTGGCTCTTCAGGTGTCTCTAAGAGCTCACATCAGGCACAGTCAATCCTCAGGGCTCTGTATCAGGTCAGCTGCAAGTCCACCTTCCCGTGCTGTGGACATGAGCAGCAAACAAAACCCCAGAGGTTGAGGGAAAGCTTCGCAGCAGATTGGCCAAAGTGCCCAGTGTTTACCTTGCTGAAAATAAACTGAAATCCCAGATTAAAACACCTAGGAACTTCAGAAGATGAGTCTGTCCACGCTGGATTTAACTTGAAATGTGCAATGAAGAAAAGACCAAGTGCAAGAGCTCAAATCTTTCTTCCTAGTCTCTATTTAGCTACACCAATAAGCTACAAATTTTTAAGACTGTTTTTATTAGTTCTACCCTAATTTTGCTGCTTTTTTAACATAGAAGTGGTGTAAAAACCTTATAAAAACACAATGCTCAAGAACTGCTGCTTAAAAATGGATTGCTCACTGTTTTTCTTTATTGATGACAGAGCAGAAAAAAGCACGGAGAGCACTACTAAACTAAATTGCTGGTTGTAAATATGTCTACTTACACAGAGTGAAAATGCAAAGGACTCTTCAATTTTTATAGTAAAAAAAATAAAATCACTGATTCTTTATCTTCTTTGCATTGAATTCTAAAGTGAGTATAATAATTTTTAACAAGAACATTTTATCATAATGAATTCAGATACATATTGCTCAGAAATGTACTGAGATTTTTATACAGGTAGGTAAGTATTTTTCAGCAGTAGAAGAATGACAATTATTCAACACTGGTTCTGCAGCTGGGACAGGTGCCTGGCTGGTGGCCAAACACCCTGTGACAACCTCCCTTCTTGCTGCTAGCACAGGAGTTTATCTCCTTGTCAGTGCCCTCAGCTCCTAATGTAAAGCACCTGCTGGGAAGAGAAAAGAATGTAACAGAAAGAGCCAATACAGAGCCAACAGACTTTGCCAATACAGAACCGCTTTTGGTGCCTGCATTCGATGTCCCAGGTTTCCTTCTCCTGCATCGCAGTTCACTGGCTTTGAGGGCTCATTGGTGTTGCTTGAAAAATAAGCGGCTGCAGTACAGCAGCAGAAATCTGATAGCCAACATAGTTGGTGCCAATGAGTGGTATGCATGGATTATTTATGAAAAGAAAAGAAAAGAAAAGAAAAGAAAAGAAAAGAAAAGAAAAGAAAAGAAAAGAAAAGAAAAGAAAAGAAAAGAAAAGAAAAGAAAAGAAAAGAAAAGAAAAGAAAAGAAAAGAAAAGAAAAGAAGAGTAACACGTGTATTTGGTCAGCAAAGCTGGATTAAGGTAGGAAACATTAAGCATATGACTACTTACTGCCCAGCCTAGGAATGGGGAAGAGCCATATGCCATTACACCCTTCCAAGAATCTCTCCGGCCTTGTTTGGCTCCCAGACTGAGTGCTGTGGCTGGAAAGTAAAGCCCAGAAAAGGAGGAGGGCCTGGGGCTAGCGCAGGGAGAGGGCCTGGGACCGTCCAGCTGGGCACAGGGAGAGGGCTGCTCACCTAAGCTGGGGGCTCAGCACCCCGAGCTCAGGCTCCTGCCTCTGAGCCCCTCTCTGGGTCTCTCACACTCCTGCTTCAAAGGGAATTATGTCTTTCAGCATTTTGCTTATTTTGAATTCTTTTCTTTTCCGCTCTGCAGTACTATGAGCAATTGCCATCTGCTTTCAGGCTTCCTTCAGTTTAGCACATAATTCAAGGCTTTATTGGCCAACGGTTAGCAACACCCAGGTCATCTCTTTTTAGCTGGGGATGGGGGCAGGGGCTTCCTCCCCTGTTTCTCCCTGCCTTTGAAAAGGGAAAAGCTGTGTGATGTCAGGCTGATTGCCTCCTCCCTTGGAAAAAGCCAGGGGCTGAGTGGACACACGAAAGGGCAATTGCTGTCTTGGCCTTTTCTGCTACCTCAAACATCACCAAAAACAAAACAAAACAAAAAAAATCAAGGGAAAAATGTACTCTCAGGCTCCCCAATCCCATAAACATGTCCTCAGCCCTGAAAAGGTTAAAGTGGAGGAGGGAAAGGCCACAGGTTGGTGACCTGCCTGCTGACAGTGCCGACCTCCACCTGGAGCAGCCGGGCTGTGCCTGCACCTCCAGCACCAGCACCCCCAGGCAGGAATGTGGGACCCAGGCCAGCCTGCAGGTACTTTTCCAGCTCTTCTCATCTATCTTTGTAAATAACAGCCGGAGACCAAGGAATATATTTGTGTAGCCTATCAGTAATATGCAATTTTTATGTTTGTGGGTGAAGATAAATATTTGTGCTAATTAGTAAGTATTGATTTTAGAGGAATTAGGTAACTAAACATTTTTTTAAATCATCCTTCAGCTGCAGGGTGTAGCAATCCCATGCGCAGAATATTTAGCAGTGCAAAAATGGCCGGTTCCTGATCACCCTGAGGACACAGAGGCGATTAAAATTATCTCAGAAACAGTTTGTTTTGTTAAAAGCCAACATGCTCCAGAAGATTCATTCCACCCACATCCTTCCCAGCTGTCAAACACCCCTCGAGCACACACAGACACCCGCTGTGGGCAGGAGGTTGGCTGGAGTGTCTTGGGTGCTCGGCATTTAGATGAAGCAGTTGTAAAATTCTCCGGTCATCTTTCCAGCTTTAATATGCATGCATATGATGCATACGTATATCTTTCCTCTCCCTCTAGAGTATGGAAGCTCTCGGTGCCCAAATGCATCATGCAGAGCAACCCGCCATCCTCAGGTGCCCCTGGGCTGCCCATGGGCTCCGGGATGCATTTCCTCCACACACTGTGCATGACTTCAGCAGCTACGTGCCATCTGAGAGGGATTTCTATCAGCTAGGAGGTTTCACTCCTGTTGTGAATTTGCCTCAAATCCTCATGTTACTTCACACAAATGCCAGCGTGCTCTGGTGTCAGCGATGTGCTGCAGCCTCTGCTGGCCAGAGCAGCTGTGCCCAGCCAAGGGTAGACGGTGATGGGGAAGCGCTGAGGCTAAGGAAAGACTCCCCACCTTTGGCTCTGCACCTGGGACAAAACTGCCACCAAGCAACTTGTGCTGCCCAACGTGCACAAGTGAGCAACACCTCTGCACACACAGCCCCTCTGAGGAAGAAAAGGGGCTGTTACTCTGAGAAAACACCATGTACTTTGCCTACCAGGCTCACCCCAGACAGGCATGACCTTCCCCTGGCAGAGGAGCAGCGGTGCCGAGCTCTGGGCAGCGAGCTGAGCCCCATGGCCATGGCCACATCCATCCAGAGCCCACAGAAACCCCACGGGGAGCAGCACGGAGCCAGCACGGGTCTTTGCTTATCAAGCACAGGTGTGGTAGCTGGGCAGAGCATCACCCTCCTGCAGCCGATGGCAGCGAGCACGGCGGGGAGCTCAGAGGCCTTCCTGCACATGCCTGGTCCCCACTCAGCACACGACCACTCCTCACAAACTGAGCACAGAGTGGGCCACATAACTTGCCTCTTAGTTTCCCCTTTAATGAATGCAGCAGTATTGGCACTGTTACGTTTCCCTTTGGCCAAAGAACCACGGGATGGGGAAACGATAAACCCTCCATCTGCTCAGACCTGTAGATTTGCTTTTCTTGTTCAGGCATTTTTGTTTTATTTTGAATTCTGCTCCAAAATACATAAACTTGGGCCAAAGGATTTGGAAGTTAATTTATTGACCTTGAGCTGGATTTGGTCCTGGGAACTGATCACAGCAACTCCTCCTGCCTCGTACATGTAAAAAGCCCTTGCTCCTGTCATCCCACAGGGGCAAGGCACAGGCCTACTCTTTTTAGGCCTTCCATTTTTAGGCCTTCCATTTCCTACCAAACAGTGCATCAGCGACCCCAGACCACACAAGGCCAGGAAAGTTTGGATTTGGAGGAACATCAAGAGCCAGCATGTAAACCACAGGGGGATCTCCACTGTGGCTCTCAGAAGGCAGAGACGAACACCAGGGCGAGCTGTGGGGAGAGGCAGGGCTCTGCGCTGGGCCAGCCCGTATGTGCCTCTGGTTTCTGCCTCTTCAGGGGATGGGTGCCTAGTTATAGCATTATGCTTCGAATATTTCAGGAAAAAAAAAAAAAGAAAAAAAAAAAGAAAGAAAGAAAAAAAAACTAACCCGAATAGTTTTCAAGCCTCTTGCTTCAGCAGAACGTGAGAATCATTCCTGAAACACAACGTTATGCTGGAGGCTGCCCGACACACAACTCTGTTCGGACAGTGAAAGGAAAGAGCTCTGATTTTTACAGCACTAATATACATAAATAAATTAAATAAATAAATAAATAAATAAATAAATAAATAAATAAATAGAGGCTATTGAAAGCTGTGGGAGATCAGCACTTCTGAAAAACGGTTGTTTTATTGTAGCTAGGATTACTACATTAATGCGCAGCCCCGAGGCCTGCATTTTGGCAGCCTGTAAATGAAGCCGGTGCGCTCCCAGCCCTCCCACCCAGCAGCGATGCTCCGCACCAGGCCGGGGGCCGCATGCTGGGCTGGTGGTGTGGTGCCTAGCACAACCTGGGCAAAAAGGCCGTGTGGTTTTCAAACAGCTCCTCCTTAGTAAGCCTACGGCTTGATCATCCTGCAGGCAGGTAGCAGGGGGAGTGTCTCCCACCCACCCAAGAGGTACAAGCACCCATCAGTGCCTGCCAGGCTCTGTTTTACTGCTCAGACAGCAGCCGGTGCCTCCGTGAGCACCACCACTTGCTATGCCCGCATTCCCCAAAGCATGATCTTAGGGTTAAATGCTAGCAGCCAAATCCTGCCACTCGGAAACGTCTGGCAGCAGCAAAACGGCAACATGCTGCTCAGCTTTCAATAAATGAATATCAGTGCAATCCAACTTCTCTGCGAATATAAAGGTTTGGTAATTCCGCATTCAGCTTTTGCTTCTTTCAGTTGCACTAGGTTAGACTGTACAATTGAATTACAAGATGTTGATTACTATTTGATAAAATATTTATCAAAGAAAGGCAGTGAAACAGCAGAGCTTCAGCAGCATTTTCCTTGAAAAGCCTTGAAAACAAAGAAAAGCAAACCAGAATTATTAATTAACAATAACAGAGCTCTCAGGAGAATAGAAGCCAGACTTTTTTCTGAAATTCTATTTGTTCTGTATCCTATAAACTCAAATTTTAAGAGGAATATTTTTACAGCAAGCTTAAAGTGAATTGCGGTTTACATTTATGAGGCATAAAAATTAATAACTTTTTTTTTTTTTTACAAGCATCTTTGCATGCTTTGCATCACAAGAATTTTTATATCATCTCGTTGTAGAAATTGAAACAATTAAGTGTGATGGGGCCACATCTGCGCGCTTACCTTCACACCCACCACTCCAACCCCACACTTGGAGCCAGGCACGGGGACTGCTGCGGGCACAGAGCTGGCACCAGCCAAGCAAACAGCGCAGTTCTCCACGGGTGGGACCTGGGTTTCCAGCAGCGTGGGTGGTATGAAGGAGTGCAGAGGCAGGGCAGGGAGGCAGTGGAAACTGTCGGGATGTGCCACAGCTTTTGGGATGGCAGGTAACAGCTTATGGGCAGGACACAAGCTCTAGTAATATAAATGAAAATAATTGTGTCTTTAGGTTCCCCACGAGGCTGCTGT